TCAGCCAGTTCCCAATTCACCTCACCACCCAGTGGTCCAGTCTGCGCTTCCTAAGCTTGTCTATGAGGATGCCATGGGAGACTGTCAAAAGCTTTGCTGAAGTCAAGGTAGACCACTTCCACTGCCTTCCCCTCGTCTATCCATCATAAAAAGCTATTGGATTGGTCAGGCATAACTTCCCCTTGTTGAATCCTTGCTGACTACTTGTAATAAGCTTCCTTTCCTCAACATGCTTTGAGATGGCACCAGGAACAAGTTGTTCCATCATCTTTCCAGGGATGGAGGTGAGGCTGACCAGCCTATAGTTACCCGGGTCCTCCTTCTTGCCTTTTTTGAAGATTGGAGTAACATGGGCTTTCCTCCAGTCCTCAGGCACCTCTCCTGATCTCCAGGACTTTTGAGGGGTTATGGAGTGTGGCCTAGCAATGACTTCTGCCAGCTACCTCAGCACTTGTGGGTGCATCCCATCAGAGCCCATGGATTTGTGGATGTTCAGTTTGCTTAACTGATCTCTTCTGGGCCTGCAATAGCCTAGATTTTTGTGATTTGCATTGTAGAAGCATTCTTTATCGCGGTGCCAAGAAATACTGAGAAATGTTGACAGGAAAGGGTGATGTTGGTAGGTGGGCTGAGAGGAGACAAGGTGGTTTTTGACTTCCTATCTGACAATGGGCTGAACAAAAGTTAATTGTCTGTGAGGCAGGTAAATGGTGTACAGTGATTTCTTACCTAATTGATTAAATGAATCTCTGCCTGTCTGCTGTGAAGAGAAAAGGATATACTGTTCTGCAGAGCATAGCAGGGCTACGCTCTACAACAGGAAATTAGAAAGCACTAATCTATATTGGTAAACCTTGGGGAAGAACAGGTAGGATGTCACAGGCTGGAGTCAGCAATGTAGCCTGTGGGAATGCTTGGGCAAGATGCTGGAATTGATACCAGAAACTTACTTTCACTTGTGCTGAAAATGGTGCAGTCGCTTTTAATGGGCACAGACATCTTGTCTGAAGAATACCTGGCGCAGCATCGCAGGTGGGATCAGAGCTAGCTGTGATCCTCAGTGTTCTCACTGCTACTGATGGCGCTTAGCCCTGCGTTTGTTGGGAACATAGCAGAAGTTGCCATCGTGGCAGTTGAAACAACACTGTGTATAATATCGAATCACAGAATGGTTTGGGTTGGAAGGGACCTTAAAGACCATCTAGTTCCAACCCCCCTGCCATGGACATACAGCTAATACAGAGATCCTGCTTTTGCAGAGCATCGGGTATTTAATGGGATTGGATAGTATTTGTCTGTGCTAGCACTAAAACATAACCCCATCTTCTGTTTTCAGAGCTGAAGGAGCCTGTGGGACAGATCGTGTGTACTGATAAAGGCATTCTGGCAGTAGAACAGAATAAGGTTCTTATCCCACCTACATGGAATAAAACTTTTGCTTGGGGCTATGCAGACCTCAGCTGTAGACTGGGTACCTACGAGTCAGACAAGGTTTGTAATCTCAACTCTGTTTCAGTGCTGAATGTACTAGAAGCAATTAGTACTCAATTGTGGAAAAATAGTCAGACAATGGAAATTTATTTCACATGGAAAGGAAATAATCTTGTATTGCGTGTGTCTTATTGCTCCCTGTCTGGTGATCTTCATCAGAATGCTGGCAGAATGACATAAACCAGTTAATAATAATTTTTTACCAGGTCTGCAAAACATGGATGAATTAAATCTGTGCAGTTAAAGCTCATGTTCTTATGTTCTCTCAGGAGGCATCATATGATGGAGGCTGGAATTGCTTATGTTTGAGGAAAAACATCATATGGGGTAGCAGCAATATCTTATTTACTTAATGGTCCAGCATGCAGAATGGCACTCGGGTTTTTATTTTTATCCTACCAAACGCTAATCCTGCATGTAATTCTTCTTTGTTTTCAGGCAGTAATTGTTTACGAATGTTTGTCAGAATGGGGTCAGATACTGTGTGCCATTTGCCCCAACCCCAAACTAGTTATCACTGGAGGAACAAGCACAGCGGTGTGCGTGTGGGAAATGGGCATCTCCAAAGAAAAAGCTAAAGCACTCACGCTGAAACAGGTAAAATACAGGGAGGATGCCTTTTACATCTATTATGTTACAAGATCAAAGGGATTATGAGAGGGGTAGTGCTCACACAGTATGCTTTGAAACCATGAGTCCAGCAGACCTTTACAGAACTGAGTAGTCGAGGTACTGATCCCCTCTGGAAGTGTGCAAATGGGTCCTTAAAACTGCATTGTTTTGAAGAATGGTTGATCACCAGGAGCTTTTTGGAGAGATGGGGAATTTGGTAGTGATGTTAACAAAATTATACAGGTGTATTTTGTGAAATCATCTGCTTTTATTGTAGTGTTTTGTGTAAAATATTTCCGTCTGAAAACTGTCAGGGAGGGCAGTGAAGGAGACTGTCCTGAAGGTTCATTTTCCTTTTTGCATGTTTTTAATTACTTTTTTTCCTTAAAAATGTATGTATTTAAATTGCTTTTTTGCTCAAAACTGTGCTCCTTCTGGCAGTGAAATTTGTGGAGCAGAGTATACTTTTCAGGAGTGCCTTAATTTGTTCTTGCTTTGTTAATTCAAAACATCAAATTTAAACTGACAAAAGAGCACCAGTGCTTTAAAGTCAGTTGCAGCTAAGTGCAGAGCAGGTCTTCTGTGTTTACTAAAACAAAAAAACCCCAAACCCACAATTCCCACTCACAAACAAAACAAGCACACACACACACACACACACATATCCCCAGCTGCCTTAGAATAGTCTAGAAGCTGTGTGTCATTGTTATAGGTAGCTAAGTTGTTAAGTGTTACTGTTCCTGTTAGCACCTTAAGAGCAAGATTTTTTTCCAGTGGAAATATTCCACTCAAACTTAAGAAATTTAGGGAATTATTTAATAAATTCCCTGGCAGTCTCCCTCAGCTGTCCAAAGCTGTGTTTCCAAAGTGTTTTACTTAAGAACAGTATAAGATAAAACACTGTATCTTGAATTTCAGGGCAGCATATTGAAGGTCACTTACTATACTTCAGCCAATGATTTGTAACTTGAGTAAACCTCAGTAATCTGACTGTATTCCAGACTCCTGTTCCAATGGTTAGGTTAAGCGTAAAATGTAAAAGCAGGGTCTGATACAAGTAGATGCTTGTAATTTTCTCCTCCTTCCAATCTGTTGGCCTTTCTGGTTGCAACTCTTTCTTGTCTCTCTTTTCTCAAACACCAGCAGAAGTTTATATAGGAGCCATTTTATATTTACCAAAGAATGTCTGTTTTCAGAATGTAATTTCAGGTGCAGCCCAAAACACATACTGACCCCATAAATAGGCTGCTGATGCAGATGGAGAATGCAAAATGGGTTGGAAATTTATTGTGGGTTTTTTGTTTTCAGTAGAAGGCTATATAACATTAGAACCTTGAAATCTCGTTTTGTTGAGACTACTTTATAAAGGGAAAAAATATTACCCTATCACTTTTAATTATTAAATTAATTGATAAAGCTTGTAAGTCAGTTGCATCTTCTGATAAGATATTCATGTTTACACAATCTGAATATTTTCAGATAAGTGGGTTTAATGTAGTAATTTTTGTGCTGTCTTCTGACTGCACCTTTTTCCTCCTGACTCTTGTTTTGCAGGCTTTACTGGGTCATACTGACACTGTCACATGTTTAACAGCATCGCTAGCTTATCACATAATTGTGAGTGGATCACGGGATCGCACCTGCATCATCTGGGATTTGAATAAACTCTCTTTTCTAACACAGCTTCGAGGTCACAGGGCTCCAGTTTCAGCACTCTGTATAAATGAATTAACGGTAAGAATCAAACACCATTCATCAGCGTGCAGTGGGAACTGCAGAAAGGGTTAAACCACAGAAAACCAAAGTAAGCTCTTCAGTTGGTTTGGTGAAATTCGTGTAAGTCACCTGAAAAGTAATTAGCTGGTTTAAGGAATAACTTGTGCCTTTTGTCCAGAAAGGCACATGGGTTTATTCCACGCAGGGTGGCTTGAGCTCTCAAGGGCTTATTAACGGCGCTGACAGCAGTAAAGCTACTGAGGCGTTCAGAGTGGGCTGTCAGACCTGCCACAGGAGCTAAGAAAAGATTCTGATATGTGACCTTGGTTGTCTTCTGTTCTCTTACGCTTAATTTAAAGGAAGCAGAGGATGCCTTGGATGGAGGTGCAGTGATAATTGTAGCGGAAACATTTCCCTGGTGGTCCTATAAGTTACAGGTTGCCATTTATCCATCTCCCATGCATGTCCAAGTATTTGCCTGAGCTGAAACTTGGTGTAGCATGTTGCAACTGGAGCAGATGTAGTGGTTGAGATCAAGACAAAATGGGGCTGTAATGCAAGGAGGGGGTGGCAAGAGGTACAGTTTATTAGCTGCTAGTAGTCTGGTGGTTATAGTGTTGCCAGTGTTTTAAACTGCACCTCCTGTTTCCCCTCTGCACTGGTTTGGCTCATCTCTTGCTCTTTTCCCAGTAAGGAAGCAAATGAAATTCATACATGTTTGTGAAAAAGAGCGGAGTCAACAAGAGCAGAGGCTTGAACACTGAGAAGGGAAAGTACTGAAAATATGCTGTTAGATTGTTACACTATGAAAAGTAGAGGAATTGGTCTACTCATTGTATGCTGCAAATACAACAAATAGGCTACTAAGGCTGGTTTTCTATGTACATTTTTTTTAAAAATGCATATCATCCTAAAGATGTGTTGAGGTGGCCAAGCTCAGCTTGAACAGAAGAACTTCCAGCCTCGGTGGCTGACCTTGGCTTCTGAATGAACCTGCTCAGTTTTTTTCCTTTTCTTCCCTGAAGAAAACCCCAGACTTGTATTGAAATACCGAGGTGTTATTTGTCTTTGCAGGGGGATATTGTATCATGTGCTGGCACTTACATCCATGTCTGGAGCATCAATGGCAGCCCTACCGCAAGCGTAAACACTTTCACAGGCCGAAGCCAGCAAATCATGTGTTGTTTTGTGTCGGAGATGAATGAGTGGGATACCCAGAACGTCATAGTGACGGGCCATTCAGATGGCGTTGTCCGGGTAAGTACCAGGAATCGCTGCTTGGAAAAGTAAGTTTGCTGCTCAGTAGCAGTGGTTAGAGAAGTCATGCCTAGCCAGGACAGTGTCCTGGCCAGTACCAAACGCAGTCCTTCTATACTTGTGTGCTCCACCTAAACAGCTAGCCCTGCGGGAAGCAGGGAGTCCAGGCTGGGGAGATGATTCAGGCTGCTTTTGGTGCTGGAACCAGCTGTGCCATTTCTGCACATCGTGGTGCGCTGTGTCCTCTCCACAAGTTAGATGGACATTGAAGATTCATGGAAGGCTCTTTCACTGAGCTGATATTCCTGTGGCGTCTTTCAGTTTCATTTCTCTTTATCGACGCACCCGTTGTGATGTGACTAGCAATAGTCAGCAGCATATGTTATCCTTCCTGACCAAAATAAGGTCACAGCTACCATGCCTGGAGATTGTAGTTTTTATTGACCATTTTCATTCTGCACACCTTGAGACAATTCATCATACTTCCTGGAAAGTAAAGAGGAACTTAGTGGCATCTCTGATCATTTGAGAGTCCAACCTGATTTTCAGTACATTGCTGTGCACAGTCCTGGGTCCACCTTAACTGGAGTCTGCTCGTCAGATTGCTCTGTGGAGTGGATTTTGGTTTTATTTGAACAGCTGAGATGTTAAATAACAGCACAAAACTTGTTCTGTGATTCGGGCATGAACACAGATGTCCTCTTACAGTATCTAGCCTCCAAAACCAAGACTTACTATGGAGCTGTGACCTGCCTCTCGTGTGACTAGTGCAAGTGCACTGTTCTCATAGGCCGTCTGAACTCCAGAATTAGCTCAGGAAAAAAAGTGGAGTTCAGTACGCACCACTTTGCTTATCCCCTGTCCCTCCAGTTCTGGCGGATGGAGTTCTTGCAAGTACCAGAAACACCAGCTCCAGAGCCTGTGGAGATGCTGGAAATGCAAGAAGATTGTCAAGAAGCACAAATAGGTATGTCTGCTGACAAGTGGTTCCTATTTTCATCTGATCTTAGCTATATGTAGGTAAAATCTTGTGGCTGTACAGTACAGAATGGACGATGGGGATTTTGTCTCAGAAGACAATAGACAGGTCTTTGTTTGCTGTCTTGCTTATCGTAGTTTCATACTGCTATGAGTAAGAAAAAAATCATGCCTATCGTAGCTTCTTTTGTGTGAAGATCAAACTTTTCTCTGGTTATTTCTGCTATTAGGGAACCCAGTGGATATTACCATTGTCCAAAAGCTAGATTTTTATCTTTATTTTAAAATGGAATTATAGCGTAACAGCAGACTTAAATCCACTGATGGAACAGCATGCTGTTTAGACAAGCAACTCGCATTATCCTTTCTCCTGTCAGAGAATTTGGTACATGCTTGATGGGTGTTTCTTTTAGCCATCGCATCTTCCTCTTGCCCTCTTCATATTGAAGGTATGATCTGTGTTTGGATCTGGATAGCAGGATACTCATTAGTAATTATTATATACATACAGCTTGCTTTTTTTTGTTAGTGTCACTAGGAATATAAATAGCTTCAGCAGTTGCTTTTTTATATTAATAAAATCTGTTGTTAACAAACCTGCATCATGTTTCTCAGCCAGCCAGAATTTTGGCACAGCTGCCTCTGTGTAAGTTTTGCTGAAAGGTGCAGGATTTGGTCTTGTTAACTTGAGGATTTTTGACAGTTTTACTCACTGTGTCGATCACAGTGTACCTCAGATGGACTATGGTAGGAAGTAGCTTCAGCTAGGGAGTGCTGTTTTCTGATAGCCCAGTGCAAAAAAGATGAACAGTGTCATTCCTGGTGGGAGCTGGATCTCTGCAAAGGCTTTAAGATGCCTGCGTGCCATTTCCCTCTAGTCATGCTGTGGTGGTACCTGTTGGGTTGTAGGCAGTGCAGCAGCAGAATAGGGGAGAAGCTCAGGCTACAGGCAGCCTTGCTAACATTACTTTCTCTCCTGTTGGGTGAATCCAGGGCAGGAAGCCCACGAAGAGGACAGCAGTGACTCCGAGGCAGATGATCCATGCGTAGGCCAGGACACAAAACTGCAGGAGAGCCAGAGTCAACCAAGCAGCACCAGCCACAGGCCTAGGTCGTCATCAAACAGAGCAGCAGCAGCGTGGTCAGCAGACAGCGGCTCTGATGACTCCAGGCGTTGGTCAGACCAGCTCAGCTTGGATGAGAAAGATGGCTTTATCTTTGTGAATTATTCTGAGGGACAAGCCAAAATGCATCCCCACGCTCAGGTTAACCACCCGCACCCCAGCTACGCTGAAGCACGGCACTACAGCAAGCTTAAACCAGGTAAAAGAAATTGGCTACGCTTCATCTGTCAGATAACTGTGCTGTCAGCAATGGCACGTAAGGCAGCCTCTCTCTGCGCAGCTTTGAGCTGGGTTGGCTGATCAATTCCAAAATGATCAGTGGAGAATTGGTGTGCAAAGGTTGTGTGTTGCTTTGTGTTTTTCCTGAGAAGCTGTGGTTGGTCTACCCTGTCTGGCAGCTAAGGCACTCACTTGCTGCCACCAGCACTAACCCCTGCAGCGCGATAGTGGAGAGAACAGGAAGAGGAAAAGCAAGGGAACTCCCAAGTTGAGATAAGAAACATCTGATAAGTGAAGGAAAGCGGAAGATGAAGCAAGTGATGCAAAGACAATCACTCCCCACCTCCTGCAAGCAGAATGATGACCAGCCAGTCTCTGAGCAAATGGCTGCTTTCCCCCAAACCCCCTCCTCTCAGTTTTATTGCTGAGCATGGTGATGTGCGGTGTGCGATATCCCTTTGGTCAGTTTGAGTCAACGGTCCAGCGTGTGTCCCCTCCCAACATCACACACGCCTCCAAATTCCTGACAGGGTGTGAGGGGCAGAGCAGAGTGGGGAAAAAGAGAGCTTGATGCTCCGCAAGTGCTGCTGAACAACAGCTAGAACACTGGTACGTCGTCAAAGCTGGCTTAGTCACAAACCCAAAACACAGCATCACGTGAGCTTTTGTGAAGAAAATTAACGGCGGTTTGAAGTCAGAGTCTTGACTTTGAAAAGAAAATAAGTAAAAATGGAGCTATCCCAGTCCTGTCAGACTTTGGTACGGGGCGTCCCTGCGTATATCACCGTTCTCTGCAGCTCCCAACTGGAGTGAGAGAAGTTGGTGGCTGTGTGCGTTGTTTTGTACCCTCCTTTCTGCCATGCATTGGGGAGCAGCTGAAAAACATGTTTTCCCTGAGTGAAACTTGAGTCATAGAGTGTTATCTCTGGGGGACTGTGATTATCTCTCAAACACCCCCCCTCTTCCCCCGGCCTTTCTATCAAATCACACATTGCAGGGGTGTCAGGGGACCAGTGAACAAAAACGAGAACAAGCAAATTTGCTTTTTCCTCTCCTGCTTTCTGCTCATTTCTAGGATACAGATGGGAGCGTCAGTTGGTGTTTAGAAGCAAACTAACTATGCACACGGCATTTGATCGCAAAGACAACGCACACCCAGCAGAAATCACCGCACTCGGCATCTCTAAGTGAGTAACTTGCAAGCGATTGCTTAGCACGTTTTCTTCCAGTGGTGTCAGTGGGAAGCAGAACGAAGCAGCCGTTGTTCTTTGCATAATGCTGTTTTGTGGGGCTTGTATTGAGGGCGGCCTTGTTCAAGGACTGAGATTTAAAACAAACCCTAAAATAAGTAGGCATTCAGCTGCATTGTGTTAGTGTTGTTATCGCTCTGTTTCTCAGTCAGACCATGCTAATTTCTGCCTTAGTTACTATGCCAGTAGTTCAACAGGTATGCTGACACGTAAAAATGGGTCATTGATGCCTGCGCGTTACTGTGCAGGAGTTGTTGCAGGAACGCTTTTGCTTTTTCCTTTGCAGGGATCACAGCAGAATTCTTATTGGGGATGGTCGAGGCAGAGTGTTCAGCTGGTCTGTAAGCGATCAGCCTGGCCGATCTGCAGCTGATCACTGGGTGAAGGACGAAGGGGGAGACAGCTGTTCGGGCTGCGCCGTCCGTTTTTCACTCACCGAGAGGCGTCACCACTGCAGGAACTGCGGACAGCTCTTCTGCCAGAAGTAAGCCAGCCAGCAGTTCCCTTCGGGCTCTCTTCCATGCAGAGGTTTAGGCTGGGCAAACCTGTTGCCTACCACGGAACTGTGCTGAAAGGCTGAGGTTTCCCTGAACAAAACAGAAGTGATGAAGAAAAAAACATCAAAATACTCAAAACTTCCAGGGGGAAATAAGAAAAGACAGCTCAGTCCCTTTATAAGTCCAGTTAGGAAGGCAGTTATCAGGAGAATGAAATTTGCTTGCAGCTTGGAAAACCTCCCTGTCACCTGGGAAAAACTCTGGGCAAGTGAACTTAGCAAAGAAAAAAAAACAAAACCAAACTAACTTCTTTTGCAGCAGCCTCTTCTTCTTGTCAGTCTACAGGCAGCTCGGTCAAAATGTAAACTCGTGGGCAGGCCTGTAAGGATGCTGATTTAGGAGCAAATGGCCTGCAGCCTCAGACAGGAAATGTGTGACACACAGGATGCATGTGAGCTCCCCTTGCCTAGGAACGGCTGAGGTGGGAGCTTCCCATTTGGTCTGCTGGATCGGAGATGGTATTTCCAGTTGCATCTCTGTAGCTATAGCTGGAGTATATACGCTGGTCGTGACAGCTGTTTTAAGCTACCTCTTATGCAGAGTCTTTGCAGTGCTTCTGTGGCAGTCGTACAAGTTAAATTCTGCTTCTGCCACACTGTGTTGCACTTCTTTGTCAGGATAAGTTTGGACAGTTGCCTGGTATTTGAAGTCACGATGATAATTTCCAGGCCTGGCTAGTAAATGGCTGGGTCAGGAGAGGACCTGTGTTCACCACAGTGTTTGTTTTCCTCTGCAGGTGCAGCAGGTTTCAGTCTGAAATCAAGCGCCTGAAGATATCGTCCCCAGTCAGAGTCTGCCAGAACTGCTTCTACAACCTGCAGCATGAGCGGGGCTCAGAGGAGGGGCCCAGAAATTGATGGGGTCCTGGCAAATGGAGACCCCATCCAGCCCCACTGTCACTCCGAGAACTAGTGAGAGTAACGCGCAGTGGTCGGAAGGGATTAGAATACTGTCTGTTTACACTTAAATTTATACTGAGTTTTAAGCACTAAAAGCAAAAAGGGATCATTGAATTGACTTGTGTTGACAGAGGGTAAATAAGGCTAACAGCATAATTAAGTGGAGAGCAAGGCCCAGGAAGACATGATGAATAACCACAAATCCAATGGAACTGTCAACCCCTAAACCTGTGTTGACATGGCTATTGAGAAAATCCTCACTTATCCTAAATACCCGTTCTTGTCTTGTTTTTGTAGAGCTAGTCATCTTTATTGGGGGAGGGGGAGGGGAAGGCTTTTTAGAAGATAGTTGTAAATCTGCCTTCTTCGCAAGCAACTGTGTATATTGTAAATAGGTATAATGGCCTTTTTATCTAAATATGAACTTAACTGCCTGTTACATGGGACTTCAGATTAACCACTATACTTTGTGTGGCATCTTTATCTCATCTATCGATTTAAATACGAATGTTTAAAAACAAAAAAAAAAAAGAAGAAAAACACCAAAAGCAGAAAACTCGAAGGCATTATGTGTGTTTCTGTTAAAAACCCAGTCTGTGCATGTTTGTTCTTTCAGTTGCCCACAGTATCTTAATTTAAAGTAAGGCTATTCATAGAATCACATGGATTTTCTCAAAAGAAAACATTTTTGAGAATAGGACTTGGAGTATTTTATTCTAGCTGTAAGATAACCAGGAACTAAATTGTACGCTTGTGTTGCATTTTATACTGAACTATTTACCACCTCAGTGTTGTTCATATTTAATAAGGCCTCTTTTATACATACGTCAGAGCTGCAGTTTTGTTAATTACTTAACGTTCCTTAGCGGCTGATTCATGCAGTGCAAGAACCAGCTTTTACCTTCGTTAGTCAACAGCAATTGGCTTGCAGGTAGGTACAGAATGAATTCCTTGTGCATAAAATTTAACCGCTGTTGTCCTGTAGCTTGTTTGCAAAAAACCTTTTGGAACAATGGGCGTAAAACAGGGTGATATTGGTCACAGCAGAAGTGCTTCTGAGAGCTGTCTTCATGTGTCAGCACATGGCATCAACTCGAGGACAGCAGTAGATTTCCATTATGGTTTTTAAGTTCCAATATGCATTTAATTGCAGTATTTTTTTACTACTCTGTCATTTATTTTGCACTACACGTGGGATGAAGTAGAGACACTGATATCCACTGGGATCAGAACACGTGCATCAGGTAGGCCTATGGACTTCGTTTCTGAATGAGGTCCTGCCAGTGGGTTTTAGGCTGGGCGAGGGAGGGGGGCAGATTGGTGTTTGGTTTGGTTCCGTTTTTTAACGTGTTTGTATATATTTTGTAAATGGGTGACAAACTGATCTAGATGTAGGGATATTCACAGTGGGTTCTTTTAAATAGCGGTGAGGATATGACCCAAACCAACAGAAGACAGGTGGCCCGCTGATGCTTCAGCGAGTGTCTTCACTCGAGACGATGAGGTTATCCTTGGAATGATTTGGGCACCCTCTGGCCCTGGGACAGCGAACAGTTAAAACAGGCGCTGCCGTCATGCCAAACCCTCTGGGGTGGCATGAGCTCCTTCCAGGAGGTCTCTGGCAGCGTGGGGGCACATCTTCTCTTGATCACGTCTTCTCTTGTTTTGAGCTTCTAGCGGTGAAGAATTTGTTAATCCTGACCACTTACTCTTTACCCTGGTATCACATGTTTATGCACTGAGAGTTAAATAATGTATTTTGATACATGTTTGTTTATTATGTACGTGCTGGTCTGTAAAATGAGATATATTCCTGTTTCGGTATGTATCCTAGGTCCCCAAATGAACGGAAAGGCTTCTCCAGAGCCCTTGCACACTGTTGAGAAATGCAGGTTTGTTGAGATTAGCTGACCCAAATAGATCCTTTGGGATCCAAAGAGCAATGATCGAGTAGCCACGCTGCGTGGCTACCCTGACAGATTTGTCCTTCCAAACAAGCAGAGGCCCTCAGTAAGCGTGTGCAGAGCACTGGAATTTCCGCATCTAACGTTGCCTTCACCCTTCCCAAAATGATGCAAAACCAGCATAGTTCAGAAGACAGGCTAGTGGCCTTAACGCTTTCGGTTTGAACAAAAGGCTCTTTTAACAACGCCTAAATGCCTTTGAGTCCACAGAGTTTCCTTCCCCTTGCCTCCAGATGTTAAATCAAAACCAAACTTAAGGAAGTATTCCTTTCTATGGGCTGGAATTTGTACAGCCACATCATTAAACCCTAATAAAAACAAGGTTTGTGATGACAACGCTGATAGAATCTAAAGAGGAAGGCGGACAGTAGGCATATAGTACTAACGCGGAGTCATGAGGATAGCGGGCCGTCGGTGCAGAGGCAGTCGGCTGCGTTCAGCTACGTGAGCACGCTGTACGGGTGGTGGTGTAGGCTTTTGATGTTTGGCAGTGTACTGAACAAAACCAGGGTGGTTATTCTTCACAGACTCGGTAGTGCAGAGGTTAGTCCAAATTTACGTTTTGCAAACAAATCACCGTGGCCCTCTGACTTAATTCTTTGGTTGCGCTATTCCAAAACCCACATTCTGGCTTGTAGGAGGTGGAGGGGAAAAAACGCACCTGCTCGTATTTCCTCTGGCAGCTGGTGCTGTGGGCAACTGCTTTGTTCACTTGGGAGTGGGTTTTTTCCATTTCTTTCAGGCTTCTAATGCAAATACTTGTTTTGTTTTTTCCATGTAAAAATCTGTTGAGCGAAAATATCCTCATGTACACTAACATCAGTAGACTGTATTCCCTGCGAGTACCTCACGTGTCTTCTCCTGCCTTGTTCTTTGTAGTATACTTACTCACGTACTCTTCACATTCGTATGTAGTGTGCAGCTGTAACGTCACGCTGCGGGGGTTGGCTGCCTCCGGCCGACATTCATCAGTTCAATAGCAAAACACTTTAGATAAGTTATTTTGCACTTTCTTATGTATAAAATTGGTAGAAACTTATATTTGCTTTGTATCATTTAAAGACTCCTTTTGTTTCGGTAAATGAACTGTGTATAAAATATTTATGCAGTTAAAACTGTTTTTAGAAAGTATTTTTAATTTCAGCAAGTTTGGTTACTTGTTGCATGACTATTAACACAGCTGACTTTTTGTGTCAGTGCAATGTATATTTTTTTGTCCTGTTATTAACTTGTAAGCCCTAGTTAAATGGCCATTTATTTGTACAGCATCAGGAGTAAATTGAAGATAACTGGCTAAGACTGGAGTGTGGAATTTTGTACTATATTGCAGAATCCAATATCTGTTTTTTGGTGGTTACGTAAAAGGCCTGACGATTTACTATCTAGTGTGCAATCTGTGATATCTGAATGTTCATTGTATATTTGTCTCCAATGCAAAAAGGTAGAGTAACACGATTACAACAATACATGATTAAATGCAATAGTTCAGGTACTGAAGTATTTTTTTCATTTCAAATAAATACCTGCTATTTACCACCAAAAAGCTGGTTTGCATTTGTTGGAAAGACATTTGCAGCTGAATAAATGTTTTTAACGGGGGAGCGGTAACCACTGAGTAACACGTTTGTGTGTCCTCAAGAGGAGTGAATTTCTGCTGCTGGTTACGGGTTTGCTTTCTGAACAAGAGCACAGCCCTCACCACGGTGCGGTGTGAAATCCTGTCTCTTTGTTCGTTCTTCTTTGCTCTGTAAGTGTCGTCATGGAGGGTGAAGCCGGCAGGATTTGGGAATGTGTAGAAGAACAGGCTGTACCGATACGCAGAAAGCAGACAGGAAAGAATGACTTAAGCCACGCTCCGTAAGGATGGTGGAAGAGAGGGAAGTGTCAAAATCCAGTTTGAATCATCTTTCCCAAGGAGAGAATGACTACAAGAGCAGAACTTGACCTTATCTGGTGAGAAACAGCCTAAGATTCCCCAAACGTTGAAATACCTTACTAATTCTTCAGTCCATCTTTATACCCTTTTCTGGGTAGGTAGCGCTAAAGAACGTGGCTTTTCAGGTTGGCCGTTACTGACGTGTCAGCACCGGTTGCTAACAGATGTTCTCTAACTAAACCAGGCCATGACGCAGCTGGGCCGACTGTCTGCCCTGGCTGGTCACAAAGGAACTTCAGCAAAGCATTTTGAGCCAGTAAGCCATGCCCACAGCAGAGCGTAGGCTGCCCGCTCTCCGGGGGCAGAGCTGCCCTTCCAACGGTAGCTCCGTGCAGCTGGATCCTGCCGTGTGCCCTATCTCAGCCTCCTGTTCCCGCAGGAAAAAACGAGCGAGCCACCGTCTTTTTGGTCCGTGCTGCGTCGTTGGCGAACTCGTGCGTCGCTCGGCGCCGCGTGTTGAATGAGGCGAAGAACGTGCAGGTGGCGTCGCATCCTGCCTACGGAGTGCACGGCGGCATCTCCCTGCCCCTTGGGCACCCTCGACTTTGGGAAGGTGAGCCAGCCAGCCTCGCCGGGGGGTGTTTGTGGCCCTCGCGTGCCCTCGGCACCCCAGCGTGGACGGGCCCCTCTCCACCTCTGCCAGCCTGTGGCCCGTCCAAAAACTCCCTCCCCTGGGTCTCAGGGCAGCCTGCCTTCATGAAACAAAGGCGCGGGGGGAGGGGAGGTGCCAGTATGGGGAAGCAGTGGGGGCCACAGTCCTGGTAGACCTTTGGATTGGGAAAGCGCAGTCCCACCCCTGCCTCGTGGAGCGCAGGCTGCGGTGTTGACATTAGGATGGGGAGTGCCTGTTGCAAATCGGGCGTTGGGTGAGTTAGTTCTGCTCCTTTCTTTCCAGGCAAATGAAAGGCTAATTAGGAAAGCCTTTTGCGAGGTTCCTCCAGGAAAAGGAAGATTGGTGCCCTGTGAAATTCGTGGCAGCTCAGGTGGTAGTGTTGGAGCTGTAAAATCCCCAGCTGGCATCAGACAGGCCAGCAGCCGGTTCTGGAGTGAAACAAGGCAGTTGGCGAGGGACGGGGCCGCTCGCTGCAAGTGCCCAGCCTGTGAGTAGCTCTGCCACAGCTCCCCCCGGGCCGGAGCACCTTCTGGGGCCAGGTGTTCAGTTGAGCAGCTACAACAAGTAGCCAGCTCTTCCAGCGCATCTGCTGGGTGTGCCTGTTGCCCACAGAGGTTTGTTGCTGTCTGGTTTCCAGTGGGAAGCTATTTCAGGGTGAAAGACGCGGTGTTTCGTTCTGTGACAGTGCCGCAGCCCGGCCCGTTGTTACCAAATCTGCGGCCTGTTTGCTGTGACCGAGTTGTCTTTCATCAGGGCTGTGAGGACTGGGACAGTTCAGAAAGGTGAGGCTTGGAGCCCGCTTTCTAGGCTCGAGGTGTTTCGTGCTCTGTACCACGGTAAAAACTACATGGTGTGCTTTTAAGGAATTCTTGGCCGTGGAACGTGCCTGTCTCCATGTCAGGACACGGTGTTGATCGGCTGGTGAGGTCAGTGCACCGCACGGTGGAGAGGAGGACTGGTAAGCGAGCACAGAAACAGGACTGATGTGTTGGGAGCCAAATCCTGCC